AGTAGTAGTAGTAGTAGTCGATGTCGTATGTTAGTCATCGTCGGAGTAACACAGATGCAACATGATAAGCAAGAAGAGCAAAGAGATGGTAACAACAAAAATGATACTTCATTTCGACTCACACACTCGCTCGCGCAGGCATGGCAGGGTTCGTCTGAGCTGATACTTTATTTGAAAGAGGAGACTTTGAAAGAGGAGTACCAAACAAGTAACTCTACAACGAAGAACAACAACATGAAGATAATTGCTTGAATACTCTGTACTCTCGGCTCGGCAAAAGGTCAACATTCCAAATTCCAATTATGCTAGGACGCTAGGATCCTGGTTGCCCGTAACCGTTTAGTCAAATCGCTGCTTGCAGCAAGTGCGAAATCATTAGGCGCCTGAATTACTTCGTCGGACGTCTCCTTGGCAACCTGCTGCGGCTGGTACCAGGGAAAGGCCTGACATTTCTTGGAAGAGCGAACCAATTGCACTACCGAACACGCACAAGTGACGGCCGTGTCGGTCCTTGCGGTTGTAGCTTTGGCGCGACCCATCGCGCGACTCCCCGAATTTGGCATTATAAAGGCGCAATGCTTCCTGCGCGGGAGGGCAGATTTCAGATGTTGCTGAGAAATCATTGGATGATCTGCCATCGGGAAGCTCAAAAACAAGCCTAAGACACTCTCAGCTTACACCATTGCTTTCGCCAGGTGTGGCCTTCTCGTCCTTGCTGATCTTGTCACTCAACAGGCCATTCTGTCAGGTGCTGGCCCAGTTGAAAGTTGTGAAATCTATGTTGACCCTCATGCTTCCTCCGAATGTGCAAGGTCATGGCCTTTGGGCTCTCCCTGTCGCTGTCGCCACTTGTCACCTTGGCTCGTAGCCGGATGAAGTCGAGAAGAGAAAGGTATGTGATGAAGTTATACTGCTATACTCCTCAGACTCCAGCATACGGTGCGTTCTGACTGTCACCGTCACTTGTGGAATCCTCACTGGCGTCTGCCTCCTCAAGGGAGCAAGAAGGCACCTAAGCACGCAATGCTTCGACGCTGTTTCTTGTCCGTCAGTCCTTCTCCCCCTTCACGTCCTGGAGTCTGACCAGCAAGTCCTGCTGTCAAGCTTGCAGGAATCGGATTTCGGCCGCTTGAAGAGCTCGTCAGTTGAGATTTAGCCAAGCTCGTCTCCCAAACATAACGCTGAGTAAAATCTTTCTAAAGTAGAACTGCGCATACACTACATATCCTCTAATGTACACAGGACATGTTATGGTCTATCGAAACCATCATTAAAGGCGGCCTTTGGAGTACTTCTCCTACAAAGACCCTTTTGCATCCAGGACTCTCGCAACCAGCCGGGAAACTCCACAGGACAGAAAGGCAACCCTCCAGCAAAAGACCCTAAACCATGGAAACCCTGTTAGCCCTCTCTTGAAACCTTAGTATGCGAATATAGAGTATACTATAGTATAGCATAGCGTAGCATCGCACAGTATAGTAGAATATACGATAGTGCAGTACAGCACAGTACTCAGTACGGTATAGCATAGCATAGTACAGCATAGTATATTATAGCATGGTATAGCACAGCATAGGTTTATGGTAAGGTAGTATAGCTATTTTCAACCGGGGGTGCTGAGCTCCACAACCCGATGTTTCTGCGTCGGAGTCCTTGTCCTTCAGAGAGACGGTCACCCATCCCTCTGACGGGCCCTCGCCCTCCAGGAGCTCGTAACGCATGCGGCCCTCGAAACACTCCAGGCCCTGACCAGGGCTTTCTTACATACTATGCACACCAGATTTTGATATATTATATATTATTTGTTTTGTTGATATACTGTTTCAGGGATCTTCAGGGTATGATTATCCCGATTCGGCCTTCACCTTCGCTCCCGTGGCTAAGCGTTGGGCCGCCACCGAAGAGTCCAAGCCTCGTTCCGCACGGACCTTGGACGATTTTTCCTGTAGCTTCTGAGAGTTCCTACGGCATCCATAATAATGTGTTATATATATATATAGATAGATAGATATGTATGTGTATATATATATACATACATACATACATACATACATACATACATACATACATACATACATGCGCTTTTCAGTATATACTATATTCGTTGGCTCTTTGGGGATTCTATGCTTGCCTGGCTGTGGGTCGTAGACGCAACCGGGCTGGGTTAGGGCTGATAGGGTGAAGTTTGCTGCAGAGCTCAAAGGGGCTTCAAGAGCATGGAGCTGGGTTGGAGTTGGAGCTGCCCTCGAACAAACTCAGCGAGGAACCAACCCAATTAGCCTCATGTATTGGAGCACGCGCTGCCGCTAGGCTCCCTGCAATGATGCCACCCCTTTCAGCGCCTCCCACCTGAGAAGCGTTGAAGTTGAAGAGAGGCATAGAGCCCGCAAGCATCACGAGTAAGTCCCCAAACCTGCCGTCCTAGAAGCCTTCCTGCTGCAGCTGGACAACTTAAACCTTTGGCGATCTGTTCCTTCACACAAGAGCACAGAAGACTTAAGAAGCTTCGGGACTTGGGGGCAAGGCCGTGATAAAGCTGAGGCAGCAGCCACGGTCCACAGGCCCGAAGCACTCATTTTCCTTAGCAGGTGAGCTATCCACCTCAACCACTACCGCGCCTGCTGATGGACTCTCCGAGCAGCTGGAAGTTGGAAGCCTTCCACGTGCTACAGGTTCCAGGATTAGGGACAGCCGGGCCGCGTTCAGCCCAGCTTGAGCTCGGATCTGCGGTCATCAGGCACGAACACAAAGCTGACAAAGCTCCTCCGACAAACGCCCTACGAACAGGCAATATCCCACAGGACAGCCGTGGCTTCTTTTTGCACCGGTCTCGCTCAGGTGGGGTGATGTGCATCGATCAGTTGCCCCACCAAATCGTGGAACATCGCATCGACTCCCTCGCTGGTCCTCAGCTCCCGCAGATGCCCTCTGTGATCCCATATTTACTGGCTCCAGCTGGCATTATATCGATGTGCTCCACCCTTCGAGCATAAGTACTCTTGCGGCTGCGCTTTAACCTTCGCAAAAAATCTACGACTGGTTGAAGTGGGTGAAGCATTCACCCAGCTTACAATGAGCGCAAAGACCAGGGAAACATTCATGCACATGAATGCCCGTCGTCACTGAGATCTGAGCCGGGCAGATACCTCCTTGGCAGGAACAGCGCGCAAAACGAGGGTGCGCTGCAGGCCGGAAGTGAAAGAGTGCCAAGGTTCGAAGTAGCGCATGGCGTGTCGTTTTGCAAAAAGTTTCGCCGCTTCTGCAGCCTCTTTGGGCTCCTTCCACAGGTCAACCTTAGCTCCATTAAGTTTTCTCCGAAATTCTAACTTGCCCGCAACTAGCCTGAAGCCGAGCAGCCTTATTTGCAACCTTAGTGTGACTTTGATTGTCCTTCGTGACATGGGGTGGATTCAAAAGATGAGCAAGCCGACACTGGGAGCGCAAGATACCTGACCGGAAGTCTTGGCTGGCAAGTGTCGACGCCCTTGACCACATCAGGTCGGCAGTGTCTGTCCATCAGGTCAAGGAAGCGTGAAAGCTCCTCCAGGCAGGCACTTCAGCGCGACACACCTTGCTGGTGAGCGGTGTTGTGACGATCATTGTCATATTCCTATGCCTGTAGGCAGTACTCATGCCATTGTCCTGTGCTTCTATTGTTTCTTCTGCTGTTTCTGATACTCTCCTTCTGCTGGCTGCAACAACAGTTCTACAGTTGACACGGATATCATTGTCATTGCTGCTTCCTGCTCTTGATGTTTTGTCTGGATGGCCTCGTTATAAACTCTTGCTTCAGCTAACTTGCTAACAAATTAAGTAGCTGCCGCATCCTCGCACGGCTGCTCTCGCGCGTCCATGCAGAGAAGCACGGCAGCGGCACCACTGTAGAGGGCAGCTTCCAGGTCGTGCTCAGCATCGTCTCCTGAAGCGAAACAACCTCCAGTGACTCTAGCGTCCTAGTGTGTAGGGTTTGGGATACACCTATCTCTTCTGTAGATACACAACATGTAAACGCCCAAGTGTGCATGTACGAAAACGCATATACACCTTAAACATATATATATATATGTATGTATATGATATGTAATGTAATGTAGTGTAGTGTAGTGAATGTAATGTACTGTAATGTAATCATGTATGTATGTATGTATGTATGTATGTACGTATGTATGCATGTATGTGTGTATGTGTATATGTGTGTGTGTATGCGTGTGTATGTGTGTATGTGTGTATGTGTGTATGTGTGTATGTGTGTATGTGTGTGCATGTATGTATGTACGTATGTATGTATGTATGTACAAATAAATAAATAACTGCATGTGTATGTGTACAGGCAAGGTGTTGTTGGGCATGCTGCTTCAGAGTTTAGGATTCCGGGGTTGTTTTGTTTAGCTTGCCTCCTGCGGTGGCGATTGTTGGGTGTGGGCATTAGGGGTTTACAATGCTCCGCATCCCGGTTTTGGTGGTGATTACAACGAACCGAAGTTTGCTGTAGAGGTCTGAGCAGCTGTAATGTACATGTTTAGTGCTTCAGTTGCGGCCGCTTCACTCGATGGTGCCTGTACTGGGTCTCGAACGGCCTGCCCAGCCAAGAGGCAAAGCTTGAGCATGTGGCATACGGCATGCCTCAGGGCGTACACGTGGGCCACGGCTCACGCTTAGGTATTGGGTCCACTGTGCAGGCGTCAGCTGAACTCGGAGCCGATCCTTCGAATAGCATTATCGCAACAGCAGCGCATGCACGCGAATACATAGACGACGTGGAAGGCCGGGTACCTACTTCCGAACGGGCAGAGTTGATGTACCCAATAAAATTAAAAAAAGCCACCAGCGTACAGAAGTTGAAATTCGCCGAAAAACTGCCCTACACTGAAGCCTAAACTCTAAACTCTAAACCGTGCAGGTGGAGAACCTGCGAGACATTGCAATGGAGGCAGCCATTCGATGCGGAACCGAAAGAGCATGTGGCCGCCTGAGGGGGTCCAATGTTTCCTTTATTGTTTGTTATGGTTTGGAGTTGAGGGTGTAGGTTTCTGGGTTTCGAGTTCAGGGTTTCGGCTTCAGGGCTTAGGGTTCAGGGTTTAGGGTTTGGACTTTTTCTTGTCTTGTACTAAAGTCTATTCGGTTTTCTTCTGAAGGCTGTTGCTATAGGGCTCTGAGTCAGTAGTAACGCAGTCCCAATTGTTACTTTAAAAGTCAACTACAACACCCGTAACCCCCTAAACCCCTAAACTGTAGACACTACCCCCTAAACCCTCAAACCCTAAACCCTAAACCCCAAACCCTACAACCCTAAACCCTAAAACCTAAAACTCTAAACCCCAAGCGCTGGGGTTTGGGAGTTCGGGGGGGTTGGTTGGAGTTTGGGATTTAGAGGTTGTTCTATTGTTGGTACTACATGGTTCTTTCGTGCGCTTGCAAAGTTCTGAAGGGTTTGGGTGTGTTTAGGGTTCAAGATTTTGGGGTTTGGGGTTGCGGTTTCGGCTTAAGGGTTTAGGGTTTAGGGTATAAAATTTAGGGGTTGTGGTGTTGGGGGTTCAGGGTATGTAGCATGTAGGCCCAGACTAAGTCCAGGAGCACCCTACTTGCAGGTTCAGGGGACTTCGTAAGCAGGGTTAGAAGTAAGGTAACCATCGCTATACTTTGCTTATAACCCCAAGTAAGGTACCTATAATCCCACTTACTACGTCCCATGAGCCTTCAAGTGAGCTCTAAACCGCCGATTCTTAACCGGGTGCTGCATCTGCAACTTATTTTATTGGCGAGTTCGTGCTGGTTCAGCCCCAAACTCTGGGACATTTTCAGGTAGGTAGTTACCTGAGCCTTATAGAAGGTCTATATGCTATAGAAGCCTTATAGAAGCTCTATATACCCTAAACTCCCCGCCTGTAGTTTCCTTTAATAATTTAACAAACCCCAAACCCTACGCCCTAAACCTCGAAACTCGAAACCCCTCCACCCTGAAGCATACCTTAAACTACCATAGCCCTGAACCCTCAACCCTAAACCCTAACCTGCTTCTTCTTTGTCGGTTTTTAGAATCCCGTCATGGAATCCTAGACCTAAACCCTGAAGCCTAAACCCTAAACCCCAACCCCTAAACCCTAGACCCCCAGTGAAATAAAAAAAGACCTAAACCCTAAACTTGTTGGATCCCCCCCCCCCCCCCCCCC